GGGTGGGCGGGGGGGGAGGGAGGGGGGGGAGGGGGAGGGGAGGGGGAGGAGGGGGGGGGAAGGGACAGGGAGGAGGGAGGGGGAAGGGACAGGGAGGGAGAGGGCACAAGGCACAGCAGACCAGACACCCAGCTGCTTGCTGCTCCAGCAGCACAGAGTCTCTCTGGGCTCCCAGGTCAGCCATCTGCTTGCCCATGAGCTATCATGGAGCAGTCACCTGGTTCAGGAACCCCCTGATCGTGTTGGGGGAGCCTGGAAGGCCCCCTGCAAGCAGGATTCAATGTGTGCATTTGTTGTCCTTGTTTTTAAGATTTGTTCATTTTATGTATATGAGAGTTTTGCCTGCACATATGTATTGGGCCATGTGTGTACCTGGTACCCTCAGAGGCCAGAAGAGGGTGTCAGATCCCCTGGAACTGGAGTTACAAATGGTGGAGACCCATCATGTAGAAGCTAGGAATTGAACCGGATAGAACCAAACCCAGGTCCTCTACGAGAACAACAAATCTTAACCACTGATCCATCTTTCTCATGTGGGCCCTGCTGCCCCCTCCGCAACCTCACCCCCGAATTTGTTAAGTAAGGCATTCTGAAACCTTCTCACCTCTTGAGGCAGATTCTGCCCAAAGTGTTTTATGACAGGCAATCAGGCAATCATTCACTTAACTTGCCAGGGCACTAGATGGTAGAGCACTTATCTAGCATGTTCAGGGCCATGGGTTCAATTCCCAGGGATACGAGAAAATGAATGATAATAACAACTGTGCATTCGGGGGATCTAACACATGCTAAGTACCTAATCCATGTCTTCATCCGGCTCTCATGAAAAGGGTGCACATGGGATTATCATCCATGTGACAAGTGTATAGAAGCTGTGTTAGCATGGGAACGGCCACATCAGTGCAGGAGGCTGAAGTACAGAGGCTGTGTTAGCATGGGGATGGCCACACCAACACAGAAGGCTGAAGAGGGGAGAGTGTAAAGTCCAGAGGCCACGTTAGGGATCCATGTGGGGCAGACGAACATGAAGTGACTGGTGGTAGGTGTGTTTGGCATTTGGAAGGTTGCCTGAGACTCCTGGAGGCAGGGGCTCTGGGAAGGTTTTTATCAACTATGCCAACCATGTTGAGGAGTGCAAAGATGATACCCGGGATGGTGGGGATGGACTGAGGTTTCAACACAGCAGTGACTTACCACTCACTGACATCTGCATTTGAATAGAACTACTGTACCCACTTTGGGCATAGATGGAAGACAGGGATGCCACCAGGATGCTGGATGGCATTAACTGGCAAAATGCAGCTCTGGTGTGGAGGACTGGGTGCTCTGTCCTCTGTCCTGGTCCCCAGGAGGGCTTACTGCCCAGCACTCAGCAGTGAGAGCTACAGCCCACCAGTTCAACTAAGCACATACTGTGTGCACTTTGTGTAGCCCAAGCTCACCTCAGGTTCTCTATGTGGCTGACAATGACCTTGAACTCCTGATCCTCTTGCCTGTACCTTTCATGAGCTGAGACTATAGACATGCACAACTACAGCTTGTATACAGAGTGCTGGGGCTAGAACCCAGGACTTTGGGCATGCAATTCGTAGGAAAGCAATCTGCTGACTGAGCCACATCCTGTTCTGGGGACTTTGTGACACGTCTAGGAACGTAACAGACCAAGGTGACTGTCCTGGCAGAACCTGTTTCTTAGTTAGGGTTTTACTATTGCTGTGAAGAGACACCACAGCCACAGCGATTCTCATAAAGAACATATGTAATTGGTATGGCTCACTTTCGGTGTCAGAGGTTCAGTCGAAGTTGACTGACAGTCACACTGAGGGAAGCTTAAGCGAAAGAGACCTCAAAGCCCGCCCCCACAGAGACACACTTCCTCCTAATAGTGTCACTCTATTTGGGGGCCATTTTCTTTCAAACCACCACAAGCTGGCAAGGGTGAGATGACCATCCACTTAACGCCTGTTGTTCAGTGGGCAGTGACTCGGCTAGGAAGACGAAGGTACGCAGGTGGGCAGTGGGTGAGGTATGCCAGGGTGAGGAGAGTTCTTCTTTCTACTGCGCAGTAGTAGAGCCTGCTGTAGAGAGGACAGTTGGAGAAATAAGGAAAGAAAGGAGTGAGACTATTCCAGGCACAGAGAGAGGTACCTGTTCGGCTGTGCTTGGCCTGGGTTCTTCCAGAAGATCAGTATGGACAGAGCAGAGTGGGAGGCGCCCAGGAATAACCAGGAGAGACGAGCTCACCAGGACTGAGGAAGTCCCTGAGGGCTCTGAGCAGAGCAGGACCTGGTGTGACCTCTGTCTTTAGCTTTATTTTTTCAGCCTCTCTTTTTAAAGGTCTTCCTGGCTCTGGGACAGACAACAGATTGGTGAGGTACAGCCAAAGACAGAGTGGACAGCTCAATGAGGGAGGGATGATCTGAATTCTGGATTGCATATTGTTTATTTGTTTTGGTTTTTGAGATGGGGCCTCGTGTAGCCCAGGCTGACCTCAAACTCTTAATCTTCCCACCTCTGATCCCCAAGAACTGAGATTGCAGGTGTGCATCACCATGCCCGGTTTCTACAGTGCTGGGAATTGAACCCAGGGCCTCTGGCATTCAAGGCAACCACTCTAGTAGCTGAGCCGAATCCCCAGCCCTTTGGGTATATCTTCAAGTGGCTAATCTTCTCTGTGCCTCAGTTTCTTCATCTGTAGAAAGGCTGATTACAGCCCATGACACCGAGTTGTTATGGGAGGCTTAGGCTTAGCTCTCACAGCAGTGCCTGGAACGCCTCTTCACCGGAGTTCCTTAAATCCATAATTAGAAGGCGATTAAGAACAGGGACTCCTCCTGCAGACTGCCTGGGCTCCCTCCAGTCCCCACTCTGATTCGATTGCTCCTGTACATGTAAAGACACTGGGTACCCCCACCGGCTCCATTTGCTTCTTGGGGCGATGGGGACCTCAGGAGCTAGATCTGTTGGACTGTCGTCGCTGGGGCTCCTGTCACTCGCTCCTGTCCCTCACTCGCCTGCCCACTGCCCACAGATTGCTGCGTCCACTGCATACTGTCGTGTCTGTTCTGTGAGTTCCTGACACTCTGCAACATCGTCCTGGACTGCGCCACCTGCGGCTCCTGCAGCTCTGAGGACTCCTGCCTCTGCTGCTGCTGCTGTGGCTCAGGTGAGTGTGTGGATTGTGACCTGCCCTGCGACCTGGACTGCGGCATTGTGGATGCCTGCTGTGAGTCAGCGGACTGCCTGGAAATCTGCATGGAATGTTGTGCACTCTGCTTCTCCTCCTGATGCCAGAGTGGCCCCAGAGCTCTCACGTGAAGCTTGACCAACTCCCCTGACCCCGGGGCCCACTCAGAATCCCAATCCAGATGTGAGAAGGTGGGATGGCCAGAGGAGTCACCTCAGCCACAGGATAGGTCTGTTCCAGACACGCCTGCTCTCTTTGATCTAGAACATGACATCTAGAACCTGGCAGGACAGAACCAGTTAGCTGCCAGGACTCAGAACACTGTGAAAGGCAGGGGAGGGGGCTGGAATGGGAGGCCCATGTCCTTCTCTACCTCTCTGCTCCAAGTGCCCACCTCCCTGTGCTACCCCAGCTTGGAGGACAGAAAATGTGAAAAGACACCTGCCCTGCCCATTGTCAGGCCCCTCCCCACCTCCCCAGCTCATTTACTGGGCTCTTGTAGGGGCCTAACCCATATAGTGACCCAGCAGGATGGGGCTTGGGGTGGGGTTGGGTGGGAGGGGGGTAAGGAAAAGACTGGAAGGGGGGTAGAGGGAGGGGCTGATTCATTGCTGTAAATAAAGATATTTGTTCCATCTCCACTTTCCTCAGGACTCATGACAAAGTATGGGGACATAAATACTCAAAAACAACCCCACCCCACCCCCACTGCACCTTGTACGGGGCCTCGGATGGGCTAAAAGTAAAACGCTTGCCATACAAGCATGAGGAACTGGGTTTGATTCCCCAGAATCCACATAAAAGATGGGTGTGGAAACCTGTGTCTGCCATTCCAGCCCTGCTACAGCAAGATGGGAGGCGGACAGGAGAACCTCTGGAAGCTTGAAGGCCAGCTATCACACAAGAAACTATTTCAAACAAGGTGGAAGGCAAGGGCTGACCCTGAGGTTGTCCTGTGGCACACAGGCGTGCACAAACCCTGTGGGCAGGCCTCCACTGCTCTCTGGGATCTCTCTCTCTCTCTCTCTCTCTCTCTCTCTCTCTCTCTCTCTCTCTTCTTTTCTTAATCCTAAGAAGACACACTGCCCTTATCCCTGGCTCATGATTTCGCTTCCTGAAAGGGAAAAGGATAGGTCCAGTCCTCACTGCTGTTCCCAATGCCCCGCCAACTGACAGCAGAGTCTGGCAGGGAAAGAGTTAACCTTGGCATAGTGTAATTAACAACAGATGTGTTCAGGCTTTGATTAATTAATCCTGCTGACTGCAGCTTCTCCAAGCTTCCTGATGGAGTGGCTCCAAGGCTCAGGCTGGCCATGTGTCAGCTGCAGAGCAGTGCCTAGGAAGGGGTTACCACAGACTTGTACACCCTGACTTGTGCCTGGGATCCTGGGAGTTGAGGGCAGATGTGGCCTGAACAAGGGTCATATTCCCTGGCTCAAGTCCTGTTCCCCAGTTGCCAGAGGCTGGAAGAGAAGGAAGCCTTGTCAGGACCACAGGAGCCTCAGAGGTCATGTGACCCATTCAGGCAAAAAGCAGGATGTGGCCAGCCATGGCAGGCCTGGGCATCACTGATCGGCACTGGGGTGTGCAGGCCCTCGGGGATCAGGGTCAGGTCATATGGCAGAGGCTTAGGGGTCCAAGGAAGGGACCTGGCTAAGGAGGGCCTGAGGTGTAGGCACACAAAGGTATGAGCAGGCACCGCTCCCATCTCGATGGCTGGAGTGACGCACAGAGGTTCTGCGGGGAAGGACACTCAGATGGGCTGTAGGCAACCCAAACTCCCTTTAGGAATATTACGGAGCAGTGGGCTTCCCTGCCGTAGCAGACAACTGTGACAAGCCCTAAAGGGGACTTCTGCCCTACAGTCTGCACGGGCCTTACTTTGCCTGCATTCTGGATTCTAATACTGCACTGGAAACTTAGGAAAAGACAGGACCTGCCTGGAGTCACAGTCATGCCAAGAGAAAGCTCACGGCCCCCTAGTGTTCATTAAAGTGTCTATATTCATTTGTTTACTTTTTTTTTTTTTTTTTTTACTTATTGCGAGTGTCCCAGGTTCAAGAGTTCAACATACATTTTATATGCTCTTTTTGTTTGTTTTGAGACAAGTTCTTTCTGTGTAGCCCTGGCTGTCCTGGAGCTCACTTTATAGACCAGGCTGGCCTCAAACTCACAGATCTGCCTACCTCTCCCTCACCAGTGCTGAGATTAAAGACGTTTTGTTGTTGTTTTCAACAACAGTCATGAAGGTAATTTGATTCTCTCAGTAACCCCAGGGCTGAAGCAGAGCCACTGAAGTCAGTGGATGAGTGACTTGACTTTATTCTCGTCCATTCTCAGCAGTCAGGAATACACCCATTTACATAAACGTGCTATCTCTAAAGACGGTTCCAGAAAATGAAAGGTGTGTGTGTGTGATGGTACATGCCTGTAATCCCACACTCCAAAGGCTGAGACAGGTTACAAGATAGCAACGTAGTAGGAGCATGTCTCAGAATCTGAGAGTGGCAGCCCTGGGCACATGGGTGTTTATGGCAGGGTCCCCAGTGGGCCTCTGTGGATGTCAAACGGCCTCCATACACATGACCTCAGGCTGTCCCCATCTCTCATGAGCTCAGCTCTTTTCACCAGAGGAGATTTGTGGGGTAGCTTTTGTTCAGCCCCTGGCAACCTCAGATCTCACTCAGTCTAGGGGTTGGGGGCTGAGAGGTTGTCAGAAGATCCAGGGTAAAGATGAGGGCTCCCGACCCATTCAGCATCAGTCCAGGTGGGCAGGAAGCCCCTCCTGGCCTCCCTCTCACAGACTGCTGGCAGAGGCAGGAAGAGGCACCTCTGCAGTCCAAACACTGATTTCCTGTTGCAGGCTCGAGGCTGTTTTCTTTAGGATAGCGGCTGAATCCCGAGAGCTGAGCAGGGTGGGGGCTGGACACAGGAAGGATTTAGCCAGGCCCAGCACACACACACACACACACACACCCCTTCATATGCACACTCATTCACACACAGACCCTTCTACATACACCCTTATACACACATACCCCTCAACACACATACACCTTTACCAGAGCACCCACTCCATATGTACCTTCCTTCATACACACACATTCCAGACAGTCACATGGCATCCCCCATTCTACACGCCAAAACCGAGACTCCTCCCCAGAGGTCAAAGTGCACCCTGCACTGCCATGCCTGCCCTGCTTCCCGGCTTCCACCTTCCCCAGGTGTCTCATCTCTGTCCAGAAGCTGATGGCACTCCTCTAGAGCTGTCTTCTACCCATTTGCACTGGCCAGCCTCCCAGGAAAGCCCTAGCTGGGCACCCCTTCTCTCCCCCACAACCCTCTGATGGGGCCTACCTTTGCTTACAGTGGGACAAAGCTGGGTGAATGTTCTCAGCCAGCTCTGCTGTGCATCACAGAACAAGCCCCCCTCCCCGTCTGGGCCTTGGCATCCTTTGTACTCACTGGTGCTTGAGGGACTAGCTGCAGTCAGGGGGCGCCTGCCTCTGCTTTTCTCTGATCTTTGGAGCAGTGCCCTGGCCACCCTTGTCTGGGCATTTCTTGTGAGGTTACTCACTCCTGAGCTGTCCACACCAAGGTAGTCATTCTTACATTTGTAGGAGATAAGATAAGGAGCCCAACTGAAGCTGTCCCTGGCCTGAACCATTTTAGGACTTCATGTTCTGCTCTAAGAGGTACGGCACAGTGGGAGCAGAGGCTGTGTGTGAGGCAGGATGCTCACCCATGCCCTCACATTAGCGGGCACTTTCTGTTCTTGGACCCAAAGCTGGGCATGTAGAATGTCAGAACACCACCCCTGGCTCCAGAGCTGCTGGAGGGGGCCATTGAGCAGCCACACCTGTTTGTAGCCAGTTGTGTCCTGGGCCTCTGCCAACCAGTAGTGGGCTTGGCATGGCCCCTAAGCAGTAGACTGCAGTGTAGCTAGGAAAGCAGCATGGCCACAGAGAGGAGCTCTGGGGACAGGAAGAATGCCATGACAGGACTTGTCACTTTTCTGAGCTCTGGCTTTCTTAGGGAGAGGAAGGTCACAATCTGGGATGACACCCATGCCATAAGACCTCAGGTGGCTCTGCCACCCTTTCCCAGCCCTGCCACCACCTCTAAACCTGCTTTTAGGGGGATAGCATCCTCATCACTGCAGAGGGGCAGGGCTGGATGTGTGTTTGGGGCTGTTCACACACTAGCTACCCACCACAGTGTCAGTTTGCACCCCTAAGAAGTCCTAGATTACAAACAAGATGGCAGCCCACAGAATGGGAAAAGATATTCACCAACCTCCACATCTAACGGAGGACTGGTTTCCAAAATTTACAAAGAACTCAAGAAGCTAAAACACCAAATAATCTAATTAAAAAGTGGGATACTGAACTCAATAGAGGAATCTAAAATGGCTGAAAGACACTTAAGAAAGTGCTCAACATCCTTAAGCCATCAGGGAAACGCAAATCAAAACAACTCTGAGATATCATCTTACTCTTGCCAAATGGCTAAAATCAAAAACACAAACGATAGTTTATGCTGGAGAAGATGTAGAGAAAGGGGAACACTCTTCCACTCCTGGTGGGAATGCCAACTCGAACAGCCACTTTGGAAATCAGTATGGAGGTTCCTCAGGAAAATGAGAATCAATCTACCACAAGATCCAGCAATTCTACTCTTAGGCATATACCCAAAAGAAGCACATTTCATATAACAAGGACATCTGTTCAACTATGTTCATAGCAGCATTATTTGTAATAGCCAGAACCTTGAAGCAACCTAGATGCCCCTCAACTGAAGAATGGATAGAAAAAATGTGGTACATTTACACAATGGAGTACTACTCAGCGGGAAAAAACAATGGAATCTTGAAATTTGCAGGCAAATGGATGGGAACTAGAAGAAACCATCCTGAGTGAGGTAATCCAGTCACAAAAAAGGCAAACATGAGCCTTCATCCAGTAGCTGATGGAAGCAGAAGCAGACACCCACAGCTAAACACTGAAGTGAAGTCCTGGAATCCAGTTTCAGAGAGGGAGGAATGATGAGCAAAGGGGTCAAGACCAGGCTGGATAAACCCACAGAAACAGCTGATCTGAACCATGGAGAGCTCATGGACCCCAGACTGATAGCTGGAAAACCAGCTATCCAGACCCAATGAATGTGGGTGTCAGTGAGGATG